GAACGGAAAGACTGTTACCAGACACGGCAGAAAACATCCTAACAAAAATACCCTTTCCATGCAGCAGCCCTGCGTGCTGCCCGTCCGCAAGGCTGAGGAGTCTCCCGAGCAGAGGCGATGCGGAGCGGTGATTCTGCCCTGCCAGCACCCACCATCCCGCGGGCAGGGCCATCCCCCGGCATCCCCGGCCGCTCTCACCTCCGTGCTGCCGGCGGGGCTGTGGCTCGGCGATGCGGCGTGGCCAGGCTCCCCCGGCGGGGATCGCTGCCCTCTTATGGCCGCGGGGCCGGGGCGGGGTGTCCGGGCCGGGCGCTGTGCCCGCTCCGCAGAGCCGCCCGCGGGGAGCGAGCCCAGCGCACACGGGAGCCCTTGGGAAGCCGCCCTTGGGACAGGGAAACACCGCCTAATTCACTTGTTTCACTTGTTTTCCTTTTTACCTGCTTGTACTGCACTTACAGTCAGCCGATTTTATAAGTACATAGGGATTTATCCCTTTTCAAAATGTATTGCAGCACACGGAGATCATCCCTAAATGCAGTTGTTACACATTACCAATAAATCTGTTATGGTACCATTTATTTGTTCATATTTTTCAAAGATAGAATGCCTGCTCTCTGTTCATTTGATTCACAAATGAATCAAATTCACAGAACATTCTGTGGATCAAGCTGGCAATTCAAAGATGTGAATGCTTTCTTTAAAGCTGCTGTTCTGCTCTGAACAGTGACTATGCAAAAATAGCAATTCCTTGTATGTCTGATCTTTTCACTCTGTTTACTGCACGCTATTAATATGGAAAACACTTTTTCTGCTTTCTACTGTTTTAAGATTGTAGACCAGACAGAGAAAATAAGGTTATTTCAATTCACTCAGCTTCACCAAACATACCACCCAATAAAATTAAACCATTGCTGCTTGTGCAAAACCATTTATACCATGGGACTGAAAGCATCAATGAAAATACTTTTTGCAGTCAGTGTGAGCATAAGATTTATACTTTTTTCTGTGTATTGTTCAAGAAATGTTGAAATATTCAAGAAATATCCACCTAACACCAGAGATGAGTGAAACTGCAAATATTTTGAGCCAATTCTGAGAAGGGAAGTGTAAATCAACATGCAAAACTCAGGAAAAAAGATGAGTTATTGTGCATACACTGATTCACACTAGAAAAAATATCTTTTCTTTTTAGAAACTTTGAAAAGTTATCTCAAACTTAAATTCTTTATTTATTTTTAAATGGGGTCTTGATACAAAACTTATCCACGTGTCCCCTGCCAGCCCAGTGGCCACCATGAACTGGCATTAAATGCACTTTTATCTAAACCCTGTTGCTGGACAGACATATTCCCTTGCAGTTTGGCAGTTCCTGTGCTCCCAAATCTACTGATACACCACTGACCATGTTTTTTAAAATAACTTTTTCACATACTGGTGTAAAAAAAACCCATCTACATTGATAATTTCCTTGCATCAGCTCATGAAAGTTTTTGTAACAGGCTCAAACTCTGGTTTGGGGAAAAATAATTTCCCTGGCATTAAGGTTGAGTATGTTGACTCTAAATATTTGCCTGACCACTGAAATTCTTGCATTTAGGGCATTGCAAACTACAGTTTGCAGTTATCTGTGCTCTGGTGGGACTAACAGGGACAGCAGGAATGCTTTTAGTAGTGGTGTTTCTATTGTGGAGGTAGTTTGTCAGCAATTTTGCACTATTTGATTTTTTCCAAGAGGACTTGCATTCCTGTAAGAGCTGGCTATAAGTGGGGCTCTCTGTCAGCAGGAAAGAGACAGCATTTTTCTGTTGGTAGCAATTTGATCTGGTAGATCTCTAGCTCAGTCCTCAGCCAAGAAATGCATTAAAGCAAACCTTTTCTAGTCAGAGACAAGGTTCTAGCCCATCTCCTTAAACCCTATTCTGATGTCATTCTGGAAAGTGACCTTTCCTTGAAATGGAACAGAAAATGTTGCATTTGACAGATCAAAACTTGAAGAGTCTTGAAATTCTCTTTCCTGGTGGTTCTTGCTGTCCATTTCACCCCAAATCATTCTGACTCCTGTATTTTACAGGTAATGATCTGGAATGATGTCCTGACAGGATGGGAAGGAGCAGCAGGATCAGATGTGAACACCAGAAACCTTGACCCTCTTCTGCCTCTGCTAATGAGCAGCTCCAAGAGACTTTCCTGATCCTTGTCCGGGCTCATATCCTTTGCAAAGACTGCTCTCCTGGCCTGGCTCATCCCTAACCCAGCCTGTGACAGTCCAGGAGGTCTGGATATGAGTGTGGGGCTGTGAGCTGTGCTTTCAGTGCTGCCCAAAAAGCTGCTTCTGTTATTTTAAAATTCATGTTCTGATCTTTGAACAGGAGGGTGCAGCCTTGGGGCTCCTTTCCTCAGGGTCAGAGCTTTGGGCTGATAAAGAAGCAAGGGGGTTTTTCAGTGCCCAAGGCTGAGCAAAACACTTGAGCCCTCTGCCTGTCTCCCTCACAATGTGGGCTCCTCATTCCAGGAGAAAAGACAGCTTATTTCTTTGTCTCTCGGGTGTGTGTGGCGCCAGGCTCTGCCAGACCATGAGACAAACACCAGCGGTCATTGAACTGGGACAAAAAAAGTCATGAAAGCAGAGGAATTTGGGTGGGAGGGGAAGAAACTGCCTGTGCCTCTGCAGGGCTGCACTCTCAGTGCCAGCACACACAGCAGCTTTGCAGGGAGCAGGTTCCCTGGCACCTAAACAACACAGCAGCCAGAGGTGAATCAAGCTTGCAATTCAAAGATGAATTGCAAGCTGTCTGAATCCAGCTGAGTTTCAGACACAGGAAAACATGGATGAAAACAATGCCTAAGTAACAGGAATTTGGCAATTAGTAAAAATTTCTGGTGCAGGTCTCTTATTTAGAGAGAGAAAAATAAAACCAAGTTGTTCATCCTCCATCACACTCCCCTAAGGCAAATATTACCATAAATTATCTTAAGATTTTAGCACTGACGGACAAGTGGATACTTTAATGAACCTCATTTCAGGCAGAGTCATTGTGGCAATTTTTTTTCTTAACCCAAAAATAAATAGACTATTAACCCTCAAATACAACACCCATGTCAGTGAACTGCTGGAGTTCTCTCTGTTCATATAAACTGTGCAAGAGAAGCAGCACAGCTCTCCCTACTGAGGACCAGTGGGATCAGCCACAAGTCAGATATTATCCCCATCCATTCTCCCTCCAGGGGAAGTCCAGACACATCCAAAAAACATTTTGCTCTTACTGAACACAGCCAGGGCTGAACTGAGTGATCTAAGCCTAGTTTATGAAATAAATACAAAATTAATTCTTTAATTCTCAAATAAAATCACTGTATCCTCTCCAGATAATCCCTGACATTATTCTGGGCATGAGTGAAGACCTGTTTGTTAGAAGAGGAGTACTTTAATTTAAACTTCTACTGTGCATTATATATTGTAAGTATTAATGACTATTGAAGTATTAATAGTTATTTTTCTGTCCTGGGGTGTTGATGGATGTCACATTTGTGAGCAGCTCTTTTGTCCCTGGGCACTGCACAGACATGGAGGGGTTTTTGTTCCAGTTTAATTTGGTCTGGTGCCACCTCTGTGGGAGGAGAGAAACCAGGTCACTGTGAAAGGCTGAAAGGAATTTATCACTCCATTAAAATAAGTGTATATTAAATGTCCACCCAGCCCTTCCAATAATAAGTACAGCATCTGGGATTTACAATCCCTGTGTGCCTCCTTTTGGGGAGCCTTCTTGAGCCAAGGGGCTTTGAAGGGCTGAAACCCTCTTGCTCACTGGCCTGGGAAGGCAGTGATGGGAGTCAGGAGAGAGATGGGGACATGTCACTAGGAGCGGATAGGAGGAGCTCTGCCCTCTCCTCATGGACTGCCGTCCCACAGCATTACCTGCACGAAGGTGACACTCCCGAACCGTGCTGGAGGGACCAGGGCAGGGTTCGTAGTGAGAGTACCTGACTCACCTGTAGAGCACAACACGGTGTTTTATGGGTGTCAGCCCTGCCAGCCTCAGCCCTCCTCACCGGGCTGGGCCCCGGTGTTTAGAGCGCCTGACACCCGGGAATGCAGAGCTGGGGATGCTGAGTCAGTAGTGGGGAACGGGAGCACAGGAGCGTGGGCACACTGGGTCAGGGTGCGCTGTGCCCATGGCTGGCACCGGGCCCTGACACATCTCCCGGCGTTGCCATCTGGGCCGGCGTTGTTTTGTTATTTCCATTAACGATGGAAACCACACGCGTGGACTTTGGGGAGGCACGGAGGCGGGGACAGTCGTTCCAGGGGCTGGCGCTGTCACCCAAAGGGACGGCTCGGCTGTCGGGGTCTGTGAGGGGGATGGCACTCCTGTGCCGCGGGCAGACGGAGCGGGAGTGAGATGTCGGGCCCCAGGAACTGGCGGGGTGGCGTCCCATGGCAGGAGGGGACTGGAGGGAACGGGAGAGATAGGGCGGGGCGGACCGGGAGATGGGGCGGGCGGGGCCGGGAGGAGATGGGGCGGGCCAAGGGCGGGAGATGGGGCGGGCCGAGAACGGGAGATGGGGCGGGCCGAGAACGGGAGATGGGGCGGGCCGGAGCCAGGAGATGGGAGGGGCTGGGGCCGGGACCAGGAGATGGGGCGGGCCGGGACCGGGGCCGGGAGGAGATGGGGCGGGGCGGGCCGGGAGATGGGGCGGGCCGGGGCGGGCCGGGGGCCGGCTGGGGCGGGCCGTGGGCCGCCATTGGCTGCCGGCCGTGAGGCGATGTGGGACCAGCGCGCGCGGCCCCGGTGCTGGGATCGGTAGCGGCGATGGCGGCGGACGGCATGTGAGTCCCGACTGGGATGGAGAGCGGGGGGCACTGGGTGGATCCCGGCGGTGGGGTCGGGAGCGGGGTGGCGGCCGCGGCTCACGGTGCCCGTGTCCCGCAGGGCGGTTCGGCGGCGCGGCGGCCCTCGGCGCTCGGCGGCGGCCACGGAGCTGCCGGCCTGGCGGCTGCGCTGCGAGGGTGGGCGGCAGGTGTGGCGCTACCTGGGCGATGGCGAAGGCGATGTCGCGGAGCGGCGAGCGCAGACGGCGTTGGAGCAGCACAGCCTCGGGCTGGACACGGTGCGGGGGGCCCGGGCCGGGGCGGCGGGGCCGTGCCCGGGGCGCGCCGCTGAGGTGCCCCTGTCTCCCCACAGGGCGCGACGCTGCGGGCGCTGCCGGCGGCCGGCTCGGCCCGGGACGCGGCCCGCAACGGGATGCGGTTCTACGCGGCGCTGCAGGCCGAGGATGGGCACTGGGCGGGCGATTACGGCGGGCCGCTGTTCCTGCTGCCAGGTGAGCCTGGGCACCTGCCCAGGGTTGAGTCCCCTGGGGTTCGGCTTTCTACACTGCCGCCCTGTCTGGTCCCCCAGGTCTCCTCATCACCTGCCACACGGCCAAGATTCAGCTGCCCGAGGGGTTCCGGAAGGAGATGGTGCGCTACCTGCGCTCTGTGCAGCTCCCGGACGGAGGCTGGGGCTTGTGAGTTCCAAGGATGCTTCTCTGGGTGATGGCAGCTCCAAGGGGCAGGATTTGGAGCTGCTGTCAGACCTGCCCAGGCTCAGGGAGGGGGACTCAGCATGTGTGGGAGCTGTGGGTGTTTGGAGTTGCTTGTGCAGCACTCCACATATGCTGTTTGTCACAGAGGTGACCATAGCATCAAGTCTGGCCACATCTCCTCTGGGGCACTCTATCCCAAAGCATCATGTGTGACAGGGTAGTGCAGAGCAATGTCTATTCCTGTATTAGTCAATCCCTCTTTTCCAAAGTCACCTCTGGCATCCCACTTCACCCTAGCAAAGACAGCCGTGTGTCTGGCTAATGGCAGTAGCTGACTAATGGATGTGGTGTTTCTGTGTATGCTCTTGACAGACACGTGGAAGATAAATCAACAGTGTTTGGCACGGCCCTCAACTACGTAGCCTTGAGGATCCTGGGGCTCGGGCCAGATGACCCTGACGTTGTGCGGGCCCGTGTCAACCTACACAGCAAAGGTCAGCCATGGGGCTGGTGCACTGCTGAGAGAGGTCTGGCCACACCTGGGGGCTGCAGGGAGCACTGGGGGCTGCCAGGCAGTGGAAGAACTGTTGTTCATACTTGCTTTTCATGGCAACTGCATTTTCATTTAACGATGGGAAGCTGTGTTGCATTTTTGTGCCGTTACCTGCTTGCCCTGCTTTGGGACATGTATCCCAGCCTGAGTAGTGTGCTTCCAAACATGGGGAAGAAAGTTGGGAGCTGGCATGGCTGTGTTAACCCTGAAAGCTGCTACTGTGTTCTGTGCAGGAGGTGCTGTGGGAATCCCTTCCTGGGGCAAGTTTTGGCTGGCTGTCTTGAACGTTTACAGCTGGGAGGGAATGAACACGCTTCTCCCAGAGATGTGGTATGTGCCCCCCTCACTGTGGAGAGAGGAGCTGGTGTCAGTCCTGCCACCAGCCTCCACCCAGAACTGTCCCAGGTGCTGGTGATGGCTGGGATAACTCCAGCTACAGCCAGGAACTGGAGGTGCCCAGGCTGCTTGTCAGTTGGGAGCCAGCAGCAGGCCAGGTGGATAGCACTGACCACTGCATCCAAGGGAGATGCCAGAGCACAGCCCTGTTAGCATTTCCCCACAGGGTCCCTAACACATTCATGTGCTCCCTGCCTGCCACCAGCATCTTCCAGCAGCCAGAACTGGGCCCTAGCAGGAAGGGACAGCCACATGTGAGGCTGCCAGCCCTAAACCCTTGCTTGTACCCTCTCTGAATATTCAGAGGGCTGCTGGGTGTCAGAGAGGGGAAGTGTCTGGAGGAAATTGGGGGCTGCACAGTACCAAGGGCTGCTGGTGCTTTGTCAGCAAATGCCATTAACTGTCAGTGCAGGCCTCTGCCTTCAGTGTCCCATGTGTGTCCCAACTAGCGTCTCTCCTTCCTTTTTGAGCTTGAGGTCCTCCCTGCCCTGTGTCAGCTGGGAGTATCAGGTGTCAGGAGGGAGTATCCCTGCTGGAGGGGGAATCTGAGCAGGGCCAGGCTGTGTGTATATCCCCTAGTGCAGGAGACAAGGAAAGGCCTACCCTGCTCTGGGCATTCCACACAACATCTCTCCAGGCCCCTGGCCTTCCTTGTTCCTCAGAGCAGCACTTTCTCTGTTGCAACCAGGCTGCTTCCCACGTGGTTTCCAGCGCATCCGTCGCGGCTCTGGTGTCACTGCCGCCAGGTTTACCTTCCCATGAGCTACTGCTATGCCAAGCGTCTGTCAGCAGAGGAGGACGAGCTCATACAGAGCTTGAGGCAGGTAAGGAGGGAGCTGGTCCCCCACTGTGACAGGGACACATGGCTCTGTGGCCAGCTGCTGTGCTGGCCATGCTCCTGTGAGCCAGCCCCTCATAAGCTGCACGGTGTCTGAGGCAGCTGCCAGCAGTGCCTGCCCCAGTGCTACTCCTGGCTGGCCAGGCTGCCCTTTGCTCTCTCCTGCAGGAGCTGTACGTGCAGGACTACGGCAGCATAGACTGGCCAGCACAGAGGAACAACGTGGCTGCCTGTGACGTGTACACCCCGCACAGCTGGCTGCTGGGTGCTGCCTACGGTGAGTGCAGGGGCTGCTGCCAGCAACACGGAGGCTTAGGGTCTGCTACCAGCTACTGGTGTATGCCCTGCAGCTGGGATGGAGACTGGAATGATGTGATCCAGGGATTTCTCCATCCCTGAGAGCAGCAGGGCCTTGTGCTTATGTCCTCAGGCCACTCTGGGGCAGAGCTTTGCTCCGTGCTGATGCTTGTTGGTCGATATGTGAGTGTGGGTGCAGCCTGCCACAGCAAGTGAATCTGCACAGGGTGGGGTTTGTTCACTGCGTGTCCCTTTCTCCTGCAGCCATCATGAACGTTTATGAAGCTCACCACAGCGCCCACCTGCGGCAGCGAGCCGTCACCGAGCTGTACGACCACATCAAGGCTGATGACAGATTCACCAAGTGCATCAGCATCGGCCCGGTAGGACACTTGCTCTTAACCCTTTAGTGTCTCTTTGTTCTTGAAGGACCAGCTTGTGCAGGTGTGGCATGTGATAATCACCAGATCTTGCTCAAATCCTGATGCTCAAGAGCTTAAGGCCAGCAGGGCACGAGAGATGCAGAGGGCATGGGGACAGCTGTGGCCCTGGTGAGGGGTGTGTCTCCTTGAGGTCTGGGGAGATGATCTCATGGCACCTGCCCTGCTAACTCAGCTATGCTGGGTGGTGTCACATTGGGATCAAGGCCGAGACAACCTCTGGATGGCTTTGTGTTGAGTGGGTTGGGATGTATGTTTCTGGGGCTGGAAGAAGCTCTATCCAGAACAGTGACAGTGCTCCTCTTGGCAGATCTCCAAGACAATCAACATGCTGGTTCGCTGGTTTGTGGAAGGGAAGGACTCCCCAGCTTTCCAGGAGCATGTTTCCAGGATCCCTGACTATCTCTGGTAAGGGCTGAGTGTGTCCATCTGGCACAGCACACCATGACTCCTGACTTGCCTCCCAGTGCTCCTACTGTGCCTGTGCTGCAGCACTGTGCTCTCTCTCCCCCCACAGGCTGGGCCTCGACGGCATGAAGATGCAGGTGAAGTGCTGTAGGAGTTCAGCTGTGACTGAAGGGACCCTGGTGTGCTGGGGCAACCTGTGGAGTAATGGGATAGAGTGTTCATCCCAGGCCTGAGCTCCTGGCATCTCACCTCTGGTGCCTGGTGGCCTTCTCACTGCCATTTCCCCCAGCTGTGCCAGGAGGGAGTACTGTCTGTCCTGCTAGTTTGACTCCCTGTGGCATTCTGTCCATCCTCATGAGTCCTGGGAGAAGGGCAGGAGAAAGCCAGGGCCCAGATTCTCAGTGTGGGCTGAGCTCTGCTTCTCTCAGAGCCATTGTGTCCTGCTGTTCCTTGATGCTAGCCACCTCTCCTGCCTTGGTTGTGCACAGAGCAGGCTGAAGCAGCTGTGTCATTTTGTGCTCCCTTGCTGTCCCTTGACCTGCTGCATCTGTCCTCTCTGTGCCAGCACAGGATGACACAGGAAGGAGCTGTTGGGGGTAATGAGGGAGAGATGTGCTGTCCCATAGTCCCCACAGCTGGGTCAGGCTGTTCCTAGCACCTGCCTCTCACTATCTATTTTCTCTCTTCCAGGGCACAAACGGATCCCAGCTCTGGGATACTGCTTTTGCCATCCAAGCCTTCCTGGAGGTAATGCACCCTTCAGTGCTGCCTTGGGAAAATGATCTCTGCTCATGAGTCCCCAAGAACCAGAGCTCCTGCTGTGTACCCCCTTGGAGCTCTGTTCTGGCCTGGCATACTGTGACTGAGCTGGGAGAACATGGCTGGCTACAGCCCCTTGCTGACTGCTCACTGTGCATCTCTGTTCCTAGGCAGAAGCCCAGGAGATGCCTGAATTCACCTCCTGCCTCCAGAATGCCCATGGGTTCCTCCAGTTCTCCCAGGTGAGCAGAGCTGGTCAGTGGTGTCTCACACACTGCCTGTGCAGGCCTGGCTGTTGCTCAGAACCCTGTTGCCTTCTGAAGAGAGCTTCTGAAGGGCTGACCAGCAAAGTCCCAGGCCCAGCCTTCTGTTTGCTACTCCCTGTTTTCAGGGAACCATCTTTGAAGCTTGGAGAGGACCTTAGCAAGGCTCAGAATTGCTTGGGTTGTCTGCCTGAGCTTAGAGGGGCTGGAAAACTGAGAGCTTAGGCTTATTTGCCCTTCATCTTTGAGGCATCCTTCTGGGAAACCCAGGACCATTGGATAGTGACTGTATGAGCTCAGCTTCTGCTGGACAGGCCAGCAGGGGCTCAAGGTGAGGGTCATTGTCACCAACAGCTTGATGCATATGTGTGACCGTGTTCACAGGGGTCCAAGGATGAGGGAAGAGATGAGGATCTGACTCCATGTTTCAGAAGGCTGATTTATTATTTTATGATATATATTATATTAAAACTATACTAAAAGAATAGAAGAAAGGATTTAATCAGAAGGCTAGCTAAGAATAGAAAAAGAAGGAATGATAACAAAGGCTTGTGGTTTGGACAGAGTCTGAGCCAGCTGGACTGTGATTGGCCATTAGTTAGAAACAACCACATGAGACCAATCACAGATCCACCTGTTGCATTCCACAGCAGCAGATAATCACTGTTTGCATTTTGTTCCTGAGGCCTCTCAGCTTCTCAGGAGGAAAAATCCTAAGGAAAGGATTTTTCATAAAAGATATCTGCGACACATATGCAATCACTGGTCTTGTTTGTGGTGCTGCTGCATTGAAAGCAGATGGTTCCCTGGCAGGCAAGCTCCCAAAGGGGGCTTTAGCAACACTTGCTGAAATCAGGCAAAAAGGTGATTTCTCCCTGCTTCAGAGCTGACCTTTTTCCTGTCTATTTCCCTCAGTGAAAGGGAGGTACTGTCCACTTCCACATGGAAAAACCACCTGCAATGGTTTCAGCCCATGGTCCTGCAGCCAGGCACCTCCAGGCTGCCCTCACTTGTTTCTTGTCTCCTGCAGATCCCCGAGAACCCACCTGACTACCAGAAATATTACCGCCATATGAACAAGGTACGATGGCTGGCATGGGGCAGGGATTTGGGCAGAGGGAACAGCAATCAGGGGCAGCACCTGCTCTCTTCCAACAACAGAGTGCCTGAGGGAAAGTGATCCTGCTGCCTAAGCCCACCTGATCCTTTTCCAGGGTGGCTTCCCCTTCAGCACGCGGGACTGCGGCTGGATCGTGGCAGACTGCACAGCAGAGGGGCTGAAGGCAGTAATGCTGCTGCAGGAGAAGTGTCCCTTCATAGCCAAGCCTGTGCCTGCTGAGCGCCTCTTTGATGCTGTGAATGTGGTAAGAGCTGCAAAAATTAGGCCAAGGAGCATGCAGGTCTGTAAGAGAAGCAAGGCCCAAGAATTGTTAGATCTGAGCTAGTGTGAGGCCTGGTGTGGCAACACTGTTGTGATTCAGAGCTGCCTGTGTCACCTAATGTCATGTGATAGCCCAGATTTGGCTTGCTTTGTCACAGTGGTTCGGGACCTGAGTTTTCTGCCTGCCCCATAGACCTATAGGTCTGACTTTATCCTCACAGCTGGCTTGGGGCCAGACTGGAGTAGTGCTGCCCATGAGGTTGTACCACCCTCTCTCTGCTTGTCTGGGCAGTTGCTGAGCATGAGGAACCCAGATGGAGGCTTTGCCACATATGAAACCAAGCGAGGAGGCCACTTACTGGAGCTGCTGAACCCCTCAGAGGTGTTTGGTAAGGGGCTTGCTTGTCCTGCCCACTGAGAAGGGACAGAGTGGCCTGGGCTCACCATGCCCAGTGGGTGCCTGGCAGGGGATCAGTGTGCCTGGCTCTGGGACAGGCTGGCAGTGGCTGGCCTGCAGGCTTGCCCACACAGGGGCTGTGGCACTGATACCCACTGCCTGCTGGCAGGTGACATCATGATTGACTACACCTACGTGGAATGCACATCAGCTGTCATGCAGGCACTGAGACACTTCCAGAGCCAGTTCCCTGAGCACCGAGCTGTGGAGATCAGGTGAGGCACTGAGATGGGAGCTGGGCGGGGGAGAAGGCAGGCTCACTGTCCCAAGCTGCCTGCCATGGCCTCCTGAACAATGGAGCTGCCTGTCTGCATGCTCTTGTCTCTTGTGCCCTCCAATAATGGGACCCATCCAAGCCTCAGAGGGGCTGATGGAGCCCCCAGTGAAGCAAACACTGAGTTTGAGGTATTTCTGAAGTGGATGACCTTTTCTGTCCAGGGAGACCTTGCAGAAGGGCCTGGATTTCTGTCGCAAGAAGCAGCGAGCGGATGGGTCCTGGGAAGGGTAAGTGGTGTTCCCAGCACCCCATTTTCTTCTGGCTGCCCCAGTGTGAGAGGGATGATCATGGCAAGCGTTCCTGGCTGGCAGGATCTGTGGGAGGGAAAGGAAGGGCTGGTCCTCCTCTAGCTGCTGTGCTTTGCTCTCAGTTACTCTCCCTCCAGCCCAGGTAGAACAGGTGCAAGACCCAGAGAAGTTTGGGGTGGCTCCAGTCCTGTGGTCCCAGTTCTGCTGACACTTGAATTAGCTGGGAGCAGGTGCTGGTGGGACTGGGCATGGTTGGGCCATAGGGGAAGGCAGGCTGCAGCTCTGTGCCTGGCTCTGCTCTTCTGTGAGCACAGCTTTGTTGCAGCCTGCCTCTCTCTGGGCCATTGCACCCCTGACAGTGCTGCTCTCCCCTTCTTCCTAGGAGCTGGGGGGTTTGTTTCACCTATGGCACCTGGTTTGGTCTGGAGGCGTTTGCCAGCATGCAGCACACATACCACAACGGGTGAGAAGGGAATGCCTGGGTGCCCTACCCTTACCCTACCTCCTGGGCCAGGGTAGGACTCTGTGGTGGGGCTGGATGGATCCCTGGCTGTGCATGGACTCTCCTGCCTCAGGGACTGCTCCTCCCAAATCCTGTGCCTGCACTATGGCCAGGGCATTTGCTGCCTCACCCTCAAACTGAGGGCAGTCCCAGCCATGGGCACTGCTTCTCTTTGCAGCTGAGAGCTGTGGGCATCCAAACACTCTGTCCCCAGTCCTGTCTTGATTCTGGCCCCCATCCCTGCAGGACTGTCTGCCAAGAGGTGGCCCAGGCCTGCCAGTTCCTGATCTCCAAGCAGATGGCAGATGGAGGGTGGGGAGAGGATTTCGAGTCCTGTGAGCAGCGCACATACGTGCAGAGTGCTGAGTCACAGATCCACAACACCTGCTGGGCCCTGCTGGGGCTCATGGCTGTCAGGTAAGAGTAGCCCCAGTGCTCAGGGAAAAGAGATCAAACTGGGTTGGGTGGCCTTGGGCCTGGCTGGTGTGACCCAGTGCAAAGCAAAGCTTTTGATCATGACTGCAGGCCTCCAGCCTGGGAAAATGGTGCTGTATTAATAATATTTAGTGTCTTGGGATGTGGGGAGCCCTTCCCAAAGCACTCAGCATGCCTGGGGCAAGCTCGGGGCAGCCTGGAGGTGGTTGAGCTCTCCAGACATGTGGATGAGGGTTTGCAGTTGGTTTGGATAAAGATGCTTCCATTTCCCTTGTGCTTTGTAGGTACCCTGACATCAGTGTGCTGGAAAGGGGCATTAAAGTGTTGATGGATAAGCAGCTGCCCAACGGGGACTGGCCTCAGGTACATCTTAAGTCTTTGCAAGAAGTTTGTGAACATGCAGCAGTCCTCTGCCACTCATCCCATTCTGCTCTCTGCTTGTCTCCCAGGAGAACATCGCAGGGGTGTTCAACAAGTCGTGTGCCATCAGTTACACCGCGTACCGCAACATCTTCCCCATCTGGACGCTGGGGCGGTTCTGCCGCCTGCATCCCAAGAGCCCCCTGGCTGGGCAGCTGCCAGCCAGAGCCAGCCCCTCGGCTGGGGAAGGCCAGGAGGGGCAGGGAGCCCTGTCTGCCTGAACCTGGGACGCTGCTGGGGATGCCACGGCCCCGGACTTGTCTTGGATCTGGAGTCTGCGTGGGGCCGTGGCGGCGTGTGTTGCGTGGGACAGCTCCGTGCTGACCTTAGCATGTTGACTGCTGCCTCTGCCAGGGAAGGGTGTTGTGCCGGTGCTGCAGAGCCTCTGCTTGCTGTTGAACCTCTTCTAAACATTCCCTTTCTAAGGTTTTTTCCAGGTATGTTCTCCATCCCCAGGTGGGGAGTGAAGTGCCTTTTCAGACCATTTTGAAGATCAGATGGAGCTGCCGAGCTGTGTTGTATCCACATTTGGACAGACTCTCATCCTGGGTTGCAAGGCTGCCTTTATTGTCACAGGCTGTCTGTCTTTACCAAGAGTGTGGGATTTGGGGTCTCCCCTGTGCCCACCATTGGGGCTTGGGGGGCGCTGCACAATCCCTGCTGAGCTGACCTCTGTACTGTGGGTGCCAGCGATGGCCTTTGAGTTACTTGCTCTGCTCTGGAGCCCATGGTGGTGGGGAAGGACACCTGTCCTCCCCTAGATGTGTGAGAAAAGGAGTGCTTTGCTTAATTTTCTTATTCCTTTGCTTAATTTTCTTATTGTTCTGTCCCCCAGCTGGTGGCACCTAGCTTCCCCAGGTGAAGTCACCACCAGCCCTTGGAGAAGGGGCAGCTGAAGCAGAAAGCTGTGAGGTGGTTGGCATCATGGCACAGCCTGAGCCCCAGAGCTCCAGGCTTCCCCCAACTCAGACCATGGTGCTGTGGGGCATTCCCAGGTCATTGTCAGAGCTGGAAGTCAGATGGGATAATAAATTGCTAAGGGCGATGCAAGAGGAACTTCACTGTGTTCTCCTTTCTGTCTGCTAGTGTGTGTCCCAGGCAGAGAGGAGCTGGCACAGCAGCCTCATGTCCTGTGCCTTGGGTTGCCTGTCCCCAGATGTATGAGCAGCATATCCACCAAACCATGCTGGGAGCCTGTGCCTCTTCTAATGCATTTAGCCACAGAAAAATGGAATCAAGGAAGCAGTTCACTAAAGGGGAATGATCACTTCCCTCATCCTGCTGCTTATGCTCATGCAGATGAGCAAGACAGAAAAACTTATTTATTTAAGAAGATTCAGCTCAGGCTGTCTCAACTCCGCCCTGCTTGCCTTTTCCAAATTATGGACATCTTTACACCTGTTTGTGATATTACTCTGCATTTAAATTCCTTCTTGCTGAAACTGAATTATTCAAATGTCATGCAGTGATGTGTCTTGAGAGGACATGGCTATGTGGATTTCACCTATTGTTAAAATCTGCTCCAAGCTGCAATTTTGGATTGGGCACATGCAGAAGAGATCAAGGAGATACAGGATATATTCAGTACAATTCTTGTTTGATAGAAACTGCTTCTTCCAGGAGTCCTCTGACACTCTTCCCGGGGATCTTCCAGAGTGCTTTGATCTCCGATTTAGGAGAGCCCAAGTGTCAGTCCTAGACTGCTCCCAGGATGTTACCTGAGGTGATTTTTCTCCTTTGGAGAAACTCTCAGCTCTGGAATCTATTCAAGATTTATCCCAGGCATCTGGAGTCTTTTGATCTATGGTTTTGGGACCTGACATCCTGGGTGGCAGCCCCAGATTCTTCCAAGAAAACTTTCTGAGATTATTTTTCTGTTTTGGTGGAAATCTGTTTCTGTTTCTCAGGAGTTGCAGCACATGAAAAGAGAGATACAAATGCAGACTGGATTTTTTACATGCAGTAAAAAAGAGATCCAAGATTTAGCCATGACCATGGTGATCCTAAGCACTGTCTCTTGACATGATGCCACTCACTTTGTCCCATATGGACTTCCAGTGTCATGGTACACTTAGGAGAAGGCAAGTGACCCTCAGGGTCTGTACAGGGATCAATACTGTGTAATATTTTTATGAATGACATGGAGGAAAGGATCAAGAACACCCTCAGCCAGTTTGCAGATGACTCCAAGCTGAGGGTGCAGTGCCACACCTGAAGGACTGAATGATGCAGAGGGACCTGGACAAGCTCAGCAAGTGGCCCATGGAAGCCTCATGAGGTTCAACAAGGCCAAGTGCTGATGCTGCACCTGGGTGAGGGCAACTCCCAGCATCAGTCGAGCTTAGGGGAAGAAGGGATTGAGAGCAGCCCTGCCAAGGAGGGCTGTGGGTACTGCTGGGTGAGAGCTGGACATACCCAGGCCATGTGTGCTCACCCCCAGAAACCAAGCCTGTCCTGGGCTGATCCCACAGTGTGGGCAGAAGGACGGGGGTTCAGGGTGAGACCTGGACACCTGCAAAGCTGTGGGAACAGTTTGTGGTGACTGGGAGTGGGGCTGGGGCCCAGCCTCATCCCCAATGGGCACAGCTGTGCGGGGCAGGTGAGCAGCACTGACAGCAATGAGCCATAGAATGCCCAGGGGCACTGAGCAAGCCCCAAAGGGAACAGAGGGCACACAGGTGCAGTGCATCAACAGGAGGGGATAAAAGGTTGGGCTGAAGAACAAAAAGGGCAGATGCTTGCAGCCTGCTGAAGAGGTGAGGTGTTACTTTGTGTGGGTTGAAGCTTTCTGAAATTGTGTGGTGATGCTCTGTGTATGGTGGCTGTCTCAACTGCTGTATGTGCTGTGATATATGCTGTGACACAGAGCTGCCTCCAGCCCTGGGGCTCAGCACAGGAAGGACATGGAGCTGTTTGAGCAAATCCAGAGGAGACCACAGAGATATTCCAAGGGCTTGGACCCTCTCCTGTGAGGAAATGATGAGAGCTGAGGGTGTTCAGCTTGGAAAAGGAAAGGCTCCAGTGAGACCTTAGAGCCTCTTCCAGTTCCTAAGGGGCTTCCAAGAGAGACTGAGAGGAGCTTTGGAGAAGTGTCTGGAGGGCGAGGACAACAGGGGAACGGCTTCACGCTGCCAGAGGGCAGGGGTAGATGGGATATTAGGAGGAAGTTCTTCCCTATTAGAGTGCTGAGGCCCTGGCACAGGCTGCCCAGAGAATCTGCCCTGGATCCCTGGAAGTGTCCAAGGCCGGGTTGGATGGGGCTTGGAGCAGCCTGGTCTGGTGGAAGGTGTCCTTATCTGTGGCAGGGGGGTGCAATGACTCTGTCACTTGATGACCTACCACTGCTGAGCATGGGGCACTGCCGAGCACTAGGAGATGCAATGAGGAAGCAATGGCCTGAGAATGGGGATGTGCTTCAGGCTTCAGTTCTCTGAGGGGGAAGATGAGGCAGGAGCCTGCTGACTGTTCACATCTTCTGCACAACACCATCCTGAGCAGGAAGGCTCCCCCCAAGACAGAAAGAGACTCCTGGCTGTCTATCCCTATATCCTACCTAAGCCACCCAACAGCATCCCCTCTGGGACAAAGGCTTCTCTCCTCTCAGGACAGAAGGAAACTGCTGATCACTCCTTTGACCCTACAAAACCCCTTCTGGGCAGGAAGGTTCCTGTCCCTCCAGAACAGGCACTGAGATTGTGGGCAGGAAGGAACAGAAGACTTGGGGCTAACTGTAGCATCTCAGGTGGGCGAGGTGGAAACTGGGATGCCATGGGAGGACACCCTTGTTTGAGAGACATCCTGAAACTCTTCCCCACAGTCTTCTGGTTTCTTCTGGTTCTGTATGTTAATAATCTCAGTAACATCATCCCTGTTCTCCTCCCCAGTTCTGGAAAGTTCACTGTTTCTAGCTTCCCCATTGGCATGCCCTTGGCTTGAGGATACAGTGGAGGCTTGACGCTCCTGCACTGTATCCCCATTGATTGTTTCCTCCTTACTCTGCCTTCCTTCCAGCACTAGTCCCTTTAGCCATTGGCCCTAAGATTGTGCTGCCCTGCCTACTCCTGACTGTTTATAAACCCTGCACCCTTCTCTACTTGGGAGTCTTCTATCCCTGAATTCTTTCAGTGTGCTTGTTATTAAACCACCCACAGAACTGGAACTTGCAAACAAAGAGCCCCTCCTGCTTTCTCCATTGGCCTGTGTTTATCAACTGACTGTGTGAGGGCCTGGTGCCTGCCTGAGCTATCCACCTTCTCCAGAGGAAAATGCTCTCGGGGAGGGTGACTGTCCAGGCATCATCTGCCATGCAGTCACAGCTTAACTGCCCCTTCTACCCAAAAGGATCCCTTCCAGGCACAAAGGCTCTTGCTCCCCCAGGGCAGGAGCTGTGCTTTTGGGCAGGGAGCAGCCATGGACAGCATCAGCCTGTACCAGCTGTTGGACTCTGCTATCGAGGGCGAGGTTGGCATCAACTTTGCAGTCCTGTAAAAACTTCTGCAGGCCATGCTGGAGCAGCAGGAGACCCTACTCATGGTCTCCCCACTTCCTTAGCAGCGCTTGTCACTGTCCTCCTTGCACAGGCATTGTTTGAACCTGTGGCAGCAGGTCTTTGCCATTGAGATGGGATTCCATGATCCAGCACGGAGCCTGGCTTGGGCAGGAGGTGCTGGATCCATCCCTGCTGACCTGGCTGTGTGATGGACTGCACAGGGCAGGATGAGGGATTCTAAGCCATGGGTTTGTACTAGGGTCTCCACAAGGAGGTGGGCGAGATGAACACAGAACAATCCAGCATGGAGCAGGACATAGAGATGATATAGCAAAGACTTGGCCTGCTGAGCTGCTACCAGTTCCCCCAGGAGGCAGTTGAAGGCCCGACCCCACCTCAGGGACTCTTCCACAGCTCCTGCTGCCAGCGGTGCCCAGGGGACAGAGCAGCATTGGTGCTCTGGCCACAGGTCCCGTACCTGTGTCACGCCCCTGCGAGTGTGCTAGCCACCCAGCACCGGGACTGGTCCCAAAGAGGCTGTGGAAGGCCCGGGTGCCCTTCCTGCTCTGCTGCATTGGCAGCCGTGGGGGCTCATTCTGCTGCCCTGAGCAGGCAGAGCAGAGGAGCAGCTGCTTCTTGTTTGGGCCGTTGCTAAAGTTCCTGCTGGGCTGTGCCTTCAACACTTGGGACAAGGTCTTGCCTGCAAGCTGAGGTGGGTGGGGGTGTCCCCAGGGCACGTGGGGGTGTGTCCTGGGGCTCTCTGTAACACAGTGCACCGTGGTCACCGTGGGATGGAACAGGCCAGAGCGTGCAAGGGTGACCCTTTGTGACACGTCGTGCTGTAGGTGCTGGTGACACCACGGCCACGCCACAGTGCTCAGTGCACACTGTGGAACAGAGCAGTGCTGTGAGGAGTCCCCACACAGCCACGTTGTTCCTTGCTTTTCCAGGCGTTCTCTGTGGAGGTCACCTTGAGGCCACACTGTGGGTCTCAGTGACCCAGAGCCTTCCCAAGGTTTCTCTGCTGCAGGTGCCCTGAAGGGCAGTGTGTCAGACTTGCTGACCAGAGCCTTTACAAAATGTTTCTTGTCACTGTGGCAGGAGGCCTTCAGGCCAGGCTGCAGGACTTAGTGTCCTGCAGCTGTTCCAAGCCTTCCCTATTGTAGCTTTCTTCAAGGCACAGCTGCAGCCCTCACTGCCCTGCAGCTTTCCCAAGGCGTCTGTCCTGCAACTTGCCCTTAATCCCGACATAGACATGGCAGAGAGACCTCCCAACACACCCAAGAAGGTGGAGAATTGCCCTTGTGGCGCCGCACTCCAGCGACGTGCTGACTTGGAGCAGCTGCAGCTGCTGCAGAAGAGTGAGTGAAAGAGCTGGGCCACAGGGCTGGCCTGCAGCCAGCTCCACCCTGCCCCATCCCATCCCATCCCTTCCCTGCGGACATGCCCATGGATAGGACAGAAGAGGGGCTGGGGCATCCTGGGGCTGTCCCTGCCTGGGAGACTGCAGGGCTGGGCTGTGCTCTCTGGCCTCTCCTGCAGCTCCTCAGCTCTGGCATTCCTTGCTCTTTGCCAGATGCAGCCAAGGACCCGGCACAAGGGCTGGATCCTGCCCGTAGCTGCTGGCGCTCTGTAGGCCAGGTACTGAGAGCCATCCCCTCCTTCTGAGCCGAGCATCAGCACTGCAGCACTGCACGGATCATGCCTCTCTTCCCCGTTGTTCCTTCTTTTGCAGAAGTTCGCGAACCTCGCTTGGTGTCGAGAGATGATCAGCATGTTCACCAAGGGTGCAGCAGAGGCTGGCCCCACAGCCCCTCAGAGCATACCTCCTGCTCCCAGCCTGGATCAGTTTGGGGAGAGAGTTGTCTCCAGTCCCAGTCAAGTAAGCAGCCTGTGGCCGGGGCTGGGTGTCCCCAGCAGTGCCGTGGCGCCTCAAGCCTTTGAGGCCGGCCCAGTGTGGTGGCAAGGGAGGTACTTCTGAGGGGAAGCTGGGCAAGCTGCTGCTCTGGCAGCTCTGCAAGTCTCCCTGTGCCTTGTGCAGGTGCCAGGCTTTGTCAGGAACATGCACCAGAGGCTGGCGTCCAACGAGCCTCCAGACGACTGGCTGTTCATGGACATCCTGCGGCTGACCGAGGAACAGCCCACTGATGTGGCAGTGACCCTGCTGCGGTGTGCCCCGACATGTGACAGGTACAGGGCCCTCCTGCCTTGGGGGCTCAGGCCTAGCCCTGTACAGCCAGTGCAATGGGCTCTGCTGGACAGGCAGAGAGTTCCAGGAGCCACTGGAGCCTCCATTTCCCAGCGCTGGCTTGTCAGCCCACAAGCCTCCTGACGTGCTCCCTGCCTACCCCTCAGGGCACTGTGGCTCTGCCATCTGGGCCCTTGTGGCTGCCCAGGCCACAGTGCCCTGGCTGAGACCCCCGTGACACCCAGCCCTGGTCCTGCAGAGCTGCCGCAATCATGTGGAAGACCATCGCCTCGTCAGGAACGGCAACGGAAAAGGTGCTGCCCACACTGCTGTGTGTGATGGACGGCTGGCCCATGCAGAAAATGTACACGGCTGACGGGGACAACAAGGAGGTCTTTGCCCTGGCTGTGAGTTTCCATAGCTGGCCTTTGCTTGTACGCAGGTTGCTGCTCCAGTGCCTCTCCGTCCTCTGCCCCACTGCAACATATCTGCCTGCCTCAGGCACTGGCCTGACACCTGGCTTGGGGGCAGGGTTCCGGGGCACCAGGCCGGCTGCTCCCCCTGTGTCTCCCCTGGCCTCTCCCTTGTATGCTCAGGCCTTGCCACTCCATGTTGAGTGCTGTCTCTGGATGGTTTATCCTTTGCAGGCAACCAGGGTGATTTGGGAGATTCTCCGCCTGCCCTGGTGCCCAGAGCCGTTTGTGGAATATTCCCCCCATCTCCTTGTGGCTCTGCTGTACCAAGTTCACACCAGTACAGAGCAGATGTCAGAAGAAGTAAATACTTTCTGGAAGAAATGTCAGGAGGAAAATGGCATTACCGCCAACCCCAACAGGTGCTCCATGCCCATCCTCCTGTCACTGCCACGTCCCCAGGGCTGCAGGCTGGGGTCCCAGCATAACCTGGGCTTTGCTCTGCACACAGCTTTGTAGTGGGCACTGTGAAGTCATTGCTGTACCATCTGCAATGTCTGAATTTACTGATGGCTCTGGAACGGAAGTGTGCCTGGGACACGCTGCTCCGTGCTGAAACCCACCACTATGCAATGGGTCTGCTGGCCAGGTGAGACCTCGTTCTGCCCACCGCCCCTCTCCTTTGTGCCCGCATGGCCCCACACAGTCCCCGCGGTCATGGGTGGCAGGGCCTTGTCCCCAAGGGAGGGATGAGCGGACTGGAAAAGGCCGGCACAGGAGGGTGCCCGGGAACAGCCGCCTCCCAAAGCGCCCCCGGGCTGCTCGGGAGCAGACCAGAGCTCTGTGAGTCGGCCCTGGGACAGGTTTGCCCTCCCGGCCCCGGAGCACCAGTGCCTTTTTCTCCCCGCCAGGGAGATGCGCCGTGTCTGCCAACCTTTCTGCTCCTGCATCGCACTCCGCCTGCTCTGCCGGCTCAGCACGGAGGAGCCATGCTGGGAAATGGGCTCCCTGGCGTTCCTGGTGGAGGTGAGCGCCACGGCCAGCGCTGCCTGGCTGAGCTGCCTCCCAGCCCTCTCGGAGCCGCAGCTGCCTGGGACGCTGCCCGTGCCCTGTGCTGCTGCCTTGGCTGGGCCCTTGCACTTCTGAGCTCCTGCCCGCTGGGCACCTCTGTGCCTGCTCTGTGCCTTTCAGGTCCTGGATTGCCTGGATTTGAGTGAATGGGGTAACAACATCCTGGAGATCTTGACCAAGCACCTGCTGAGCGAGTCCATGGAGATGCAACGCCTGGCCCTCAGAGGCCTTGTGATGCTCAGCACAGACCCCTCAATGGTGAGAAGGAGGCAGCAGCTGAAGCTGTGCTGGCAGCGTGGGGCTGGGGCAAGCAGCCCCTTGGGCCTGGCTGGGCTTTGGCAGCTGTGGCAGCTGCTCCCAGCTCTCCAGGATCGCTGTTCAGCTGCCTGAGTGCTCTGGGACAGGCCTTTGGCCTCTGTAGACTCCATGGCAGGCCGGTGGGGTTGCACTGCTGGAGCAGTGCTGGTGGTGAAGCTTCTCATGGATTCACAGCACAGCCTTGTGTTCCACATAGGCCAAAAAAATGTGCAGCCTGTCTGAACCCCTCATGGATTTCCTGAGGAATGAAGACATAGAGGTGGTCAAGATGAGTCTGTCTGTGTTCACAAATATACTCGTGAACAAGGATATCCTAACATCCTGCCCCACAGCCCCCAAACTGGCTGCCGCGCTCCGGCCCCTCTTTGACAGCGTAAGGCTCTGTGCCCCCGGCCATGGCCCCTGGCTGCTGCCCACAAGTGTGGTGCCCTGTGGCCTGTTGGGCCTGGAGAATCCAGTGCTGAGTTTTTTTCCTTTCCAACAGGACAACAATGAAGTGCAGTGGCTCTCCATTGGCCTCTACAAAGATGTGATAGAATCGGTAGTGGAAAGGGGAAAAAAGGCCCTGAAGCCTCATGTGAGCGAGAGCCTGCTTCCTCTCTTTTTCCACTGCTACGACGAGAACCGGCGTGTGGCACAGGTGAGGCCTCCTGGGTGTCCCCTTGGGAGGGGCTCAGCTGTCTGCCCAGCCCCTGGCACCTGACGGGCTCCAGCCTCCTCCTGGCCTTGGCACAGAGATGCGGCTCCTGTGCCCTGGGCCGCGGTGCCATCTCTGGCTCTCTGCTGCCCTGCAGACCTCTCGGGAAACGCTGCTCTCTGCAGTAAACTTCCTGAAGAGAAGGGATCTCAAACAGCTGCTCAAGTTGGATGACCCGTGGAGCTTTGCCGAGCACGTGGTAAGGACAGGCTGGAATCCCCAGGCCAATCCCCGGAGAAGCCGCCTGCCCAGGGTGCCCAGTCTGTGGGGCTGGCAGCTGTGGCCCCTGCCCAGTGCCGCAGGCAGGGCCACCAGCCTGCGCCCCACACGCCGCTCCCTTCCCTGGGCCGTGCGGGCTCTTCTCCGGGCCCCTCTGGCCCCGAGGCCGGTGCCGAGCAGCCGGGCCTCAGGGCTCGGTGGGCCGGGAGGGCCGTAGGGAGCGCCCGGCCCGGGGGCAGGGCCCGCATCAGCCCTTTCCCTCCGTGCCCTGCCGGTCTCTGCAGCTGGCAGAGGACAGGAGCCGAGCGGCCGAGCACCTGCGCCAGGCCCTGCCGTACCTGCAGAGCCCACAGGAGCCCGTGCGAGAGGCGGCCGTCAGATCCATTGGTGAGCCACCAAGCCGGCTCTCGCTCCCTCCCTTCCCCGTGGCCTCAGGGTCCGGGCCAGGGGCCGTGACGGGCTCTGTGTTCCCAGGGACCGCCGGGATGCTCATGAGAGGACAGCGGGAGGAGCTGCAGCTCATCTGTGAGGGTGAGTGAGGCCGGCGGGGTGTCTGTCTGTCTGTCCGCGGGAGCTGCCAGGGGAAGCTGCACGGGGTGTCTGTCTGTCTGTCTGTCCGCGGGAGCTGCCAGGGGAAGCTGCACGGGGTGTCTGTCTGTCTGTCTGTCCGCGGGAGCTGCCAGGGGAAGCTGCACGGGTGTGTCTGTCTGTCTGTCCGCGGGAGCTGCCAGGGGAAGCTGCACGGGGTGTCTGTCTGTCTGTCTGTCCGCGGGAGCTGCCAGGGGAAGCTGCACGGGGTGTCTGTCTGTCCTGGGAGCTTCCAGGGGAAGCTGCACGGGGTGTCTGTCTGTCTGTCTGTCCGTGGGAGCTGCCAGGGGAAGCTGCACGGGGTGTCTGTCTGTCTGTCTGTCCGTGGGAGCTGCCAGGGGAAGCTGCACGGGGTGTCTGTCTGTCTGTCCGTGGGAGCTGCCAGGGGAAGCTGCACGGGGTGTCTGTCTGTCTGTCTGTCTGTCGGGGGAGCTTCCAGGGGAAGCTGCAATCCCTGCCCCGGCTGCGGCGGCTCCGCTCCTTGTGCGCACGAGGGGCAGCGTCGGGAGAGCACGGAGCCTTTTCAGAGATGTCATTTGTGGCCAGCACCTTCTAGCTGATCCTTGCTGTATCCTGCTTCCTCCAGGCCGTGGCAAGAGCTGAGTGGGCTGGTCCTTTCAGGGGCTTTTCTCACTCTGGCCGTGGCTCTGTTTGTTTCAGCCCTTCAAGCCCTTAACACAGATGAGAGCCCCTCCAACACAAACCTGATCGTTCAAGTCATGTTGGATGAAAGAGCTACATCACTAAGTTCATCTTCTGGATCGAAACAACCAGGACAGCAGCAGATGCCATGCAGGAGGAAACAAGCTGGAGATCAGAGGGGAGCAGCTGGAGCTCCAGGCCCAGCTAATGCTGGGCAAATCTGACCTCACCTTCCCTCTTTACTGGTCCCTCCCTGCGGCCCTCAGAACCTGCCTGTTCCCTTCTCCCAAGCTTTGCCATGAATAAACATTTCAGCTTCTTCACCTCATTTGTATCTTTGTGGAGCTGAAGTGGATCAAAACCTGAGCCCTGGAGCACACAGGCCCCGTCCTGCCGGTCTTTTCTGTGCTGCGTTTTGTGCAGAGAAGCAAAACACATCAGGCTGGAAAGGTCCCTGCCCTGGAGGTCTGGTTTCACAACACTGTGAAAGACCTAAGGGTCTTGCTGAGCACACTGAAGGTCAGCAGTAGGATACAGAGCCTGGATTTCAGAAGAGTCAACTTCAGTATTTTCTGAATCCAGCCGTGAGGGATTCCGTGGCAAGCATCCACTGGGGGCAAAGGAGCTTGGAATGCTGGAAGTTATTCAAGAACAGGTTCCTTGAAAGCACAGCAGTGGTCCTTCCCTACAAAAGGGAGAGCAAGAGGGCAGAAGCAGAGATGGCCCTGATTTCTAGTGAGCTTTGGGTGTGCTAAAGAGGAAGCAAATGAAGCAGCAGTACAAGGGCTGACCCACGACTGTCCCACTGTATGGAGCGCTGTCCGGCAGCGCTGGGATCCTGGGTTTTGGTCCCCACAACTGAGGAATTACAGCTCCTGCTTCCTACACAGTCAGGAACCCAACCAAGTGAGGCCAGAGTGGGGAGGCCCCTCCAGTCTCTCTTGGGCATGGCTGCAAAACAGCTGCTGCTTCTTCCTCCTCTTGTGTTTGGGGTTTGCTGATCCCAGAGCCAGGTTGTGCTCTGTTTTCCAAAGACTGTTCAGAGCTATTTATTCTGAGACCGAGTTTCAAGCAGCTTTTCTTGTTCCCTGTTTCAAATGTGGGAAAGACAAGTGCTCTGTGCAGTGGGGAGCCCTGCAAGGTGCTTACAACGGCATCTAACCCAAATCTACCCTTTTGCACTTTAAATGTGTGGTTTTCTCCAGCAAGACAGAGCTCCTCTGGCTCTGCCAGTGCCTGTTCTGCTGCCTTTGGGCTACCTAATGTTGGGATAAGGAACTTGCACCAATTCCAGAGTTTGCAGTGACAACAAAGATGCTGAATTTGAGACGGGTAAGTTAGTATGGTGACTATATAAGGCTAAGCTGGAGTCCTAAAACTCCTTTGATGCTGTGAAGTTTGCTCAGCAGTTGAGAACTTGAGTATAATTGTAGTTTTTCTCTCTGCTTTTGTGTTGGAAAGTATTTTAAAGATCCTGTAGTTCCAGTTGCCTGGCTATGGGCAGGGACACCTTCCATTAGAATTGGACTAATCCATCTTTACCTTCCCTCCTCTGGATTTGGATCTAATGTGGATATATCAGCTGATTAGATTTTGTAGCTCAAAGAAATAGGAACAGGACTTTCCCACTATCCCATCTAAAGCCTCCCTGTGCAAGTGGGAAGCCATTCCCTCTGTCCCTCCAGGTTCTTGCCCAAAGTTCCTTTCCAGCTCTCTTGGAGCCCCTTTAGGCACTGAAAAGGCTCTAAGGATTCCCTGGAGCCTTCTTTAGGCTGAACAGTCCCAGTTCTCCCAGCCTATCAGTGACATGCTCCAGTTCTTGGACCACTTCCTGGTCCTTGCTGGCCTCTCCTGGTCCTTGAGGTCCTCTGCATCCATCCCAAAGCCACCACAGCTTGCACAGATAGAAGCTGCCCTCAGCTGCCTTAAGGGAAGAGCACACACAAACCTCCTGCTGTTGGCAACAGGGAGTTGGGGGAGAGCAGCCTGGCCTCCCAGCACTGCTAGAAAACTTTTCAGCTGAGGAAGGAGTTTTGTTTCACTGGAGACAGCAGCTCCCCCTTTGGCTTTAAACACAACCAAAGGCACAGTCACTGATTAGAGGCTGAATAAAATGATGTATTCCAGTGCTGCCCACGTCTCCCTCAGGGAACTGACAGGCTGCTGGGTTCAGACAGCTTTTCTTAATGAGACAGAATATTTTCACAATGATGCCATCAGAGAACAAACAGGGGTAAAGCACTTTTATTTACACTTACTTAGTTTGTAAAACCATGTGTCCACTGCCATCATTTAAAGTGCAAGCTACATGTCTTCTGAACAAACTGAAGGCATACCAGGTGCTATGTAAGGTAAAATACTGCCACCAGTAGTTATACAACTAACTACAAATGCCAGTAGCATAGTTCAAACCCTGACCAGCTTAGTGTGTTACTTCCTCTTGTATATTACCAGCCAAAAACATATTCCATTGCTTTGGATACAATACTTTCATCTTTCCTAGGAGTTTGTCTGTCAGAAACCACCTAGAAGGCAGGGAGAAAAACAAAAAAAAAGAAAATAGAGAGCATCAGTCAACATGTAGTTAATAGTTTTTACACTAAGCATTTATTTCTTCTTTTTCTAAGTGCTACATATTTTGACAAAATATGTTTGAATGTTCAAAACAAGCTCTTAATCCCTGGAAAAGTGCCAAGTCAATAGTTAAGTATTTTTTAATTATTATTTTAGAGACTGAACAGACTGAGCTTGTACTGGAACCACGTCATTAAAGAACTGACAGCAAAAGGTAAAGGTCACATTGAAGTTAATGTCAGCAAAGGCTCATTGAGGTAAGGGGAGACAACACAAAAACAAATGTTTCTGTTTCCCTTCAAGTACCTGATAGTCACTAGTGGAAGCCTTATATGCTGTTGCCAGAGGTCTCATGGTAGAAATCCTTGCACTGTTATTTGCAGGCTGTGTTGGTGTGCCAGCAGATTTTGTAGGTGGAGTGAAAATCGAAGACATTGAGGATGTAGAGCTTCTTTCATAGTTTTCCATCAGACTCTTAAATAGAGGGTTAATATGATGTAAACAAATACTGAAAAGCAGTATTCCAACCTTTATCATCTAAAATTATCTACTATTTGAATTTTTTTGATAAAACATATTTGGATCCCATTACTCTTCAGTATCATATATCCTTAAAGGAGACAAAAAAAAAAATCTGTGGAGAATGACTGTTATTTTCTTAAGCTAATGTACAGTATCCAGGGCAAAGGGCTGCAAGTATTAAAGGTCAGGATATTGCCAATACCTAGACACTAATAACTCATGTTAACATTAAGACTACAAGACAGCCATGTCTACCCCCAACTACTGCTTACAAGTGAGTGATCATGTTTTTATAGGGGCAGGTAGGAGAACAGGATTGAAATTTCCTTGCTAACAAATTTTCAATCCAAAGTACTAAGATCAATTCAAGAGCCAGAAGCACATAGTCACATAAAAAATAGAGAGGTACAATTAGGAGCAGCCACAGTCTTAACCTGCCATTACGTATCTACTGCAGGCCCTAAATTCCAGTCAGAAAACTTATCTGAATTGTGTTTTATATTATGGTTTCACTTCCTTGTCTCATACAGCAATATAATTGTGTGCATTTTAAGTTCCAAGGAGCACAGAGATTGTTCATAATGGTCTTTCTCAGCAGGAAATGTGGACAAGTATTTAAGAAAAAACTTATGTAAATGTGTAACAGACTATATCTATATAGATGAACTACCTACAATTTGCAATTCCAAAAGAAAAAAAAAAAATAAAACACATCAGGGAAAATAAAAAGCAAGGCCAAAAGCAGAGTGCCTTTGAACTAAAAGCAACTATTAACTTACTTTATCTATACAAGGCTTGACACCAATCATGATAGATTCACCAAAAATTTTTCCATCTTTGCTTAAGGCTTTCCGGGCTTGAAGCTTAGACTGATATCGAATATGCATCCAGTTTCCTGCGTTGGACATCTGAATGAGATGAGGTGAAAATTGTGAAATGTAGTTTTTAAAATGCTTAATTCACAATGTTTCTGATATAAGTGGCAAACTAAGACATACCACATGCTTTAATATGTTTCCATACTGAGCAAACTGTAGTAGAATATAGGAAGCTGATGCTTGAGGAAATCTGAAAGACAGAAAAAAGTACTCAAAATTTTTTAAGAATTCAGGTTTAAGAATTCAGGGGTTAAGATACAACCCTATGAAGCCTTCACAGAAATGCAGAAGAGAGCACTGTAATATCAGCAGCAGTGACTTGATATAAAATACCACCTTCTAGGCACTTCAGCACACACCCCAACAGCAGAATGGTGCCTAACTAGAAAAAATATGTGTAGCTCAATTTAAGATGCCTCACTGAAATGTATGTGTTTGCTTGCTTTAACCATAGCTGTAATTGCAGCACATACCAATGCCAGACAACATCAATGCCCGAGGATTTTTCTCATATGCTCTAAAGACTTCACCCAGGTTTTTCTGATACTTTGGAAATCAACTTACCCAAATACAGTTACCCATGTGTCATCAAGTTGATCTTCTGAAGTAAGGGAATCACCTTGAGTATAAAAAGGATCCAGCTGAGCAGGAGATAGAGTAGTCTTCTTAGGCTGCCCAATGCTTGCAGGGCTGAACATGCTTGAAGCTGTTAAATTGAAATGGTATTGCTGAACAAATTTCTTTTGCAAGACAGAGGTTTATTTTAAAAGAATAAATTCAGTGTCAAGCATTTGACTTGTATGTGGAAGAGTTTGATGGGGATTTACAGACAGAACAAGTAAGTCAATCATAACTTCACATCTGCAAACACACTAGGAAGTTTTTGTAACTAGCAACCTAGTGTTCTCTTTGACTTCAAAACACCAATAGCTTAATACAGTTGCCAAATAGGAACAGGCCAACAGAATTAAGCTTAGCAAGAAGCCACCAGTTCATACACAAGATATCAAACCTTGTGAAGATGGAAGGCAATCCATCAATCTCAGCTTCTTCACTCAATTACAACCACCTCTGTGCTCAGTTCAACACCACATTTGGAACAGGCAACCAGAAAAGCTGCTTGAAACTCAGTCTCAGAATAAATCATTATTTCCTACTCACACCCATGCACCTTTTGAAAAGCTAACAAATACACCACCTCTTCATAAACTAGCAAGGAACTGATGTAGCTTGAACAGTGATGATTTTTCTGTATTAAAGAAAGCAGTAAGAAAAGAGAATAGAAATTTTGACAGGACATCTACCTGCTCCTGGAGTTGATGGCAGAATTCCAGTGGATGGGCTCTGTGATAAAGTAAAGCTGGCCTGCATTAATATACAGAAAGTAACAAATTATTCTTATAGGCATACTGCTCAGATCAAGTGATTTAAACATTCAAGTAATAACATTAATTTTTTGCCTTAAGTTATTCCTAACTTTTCAGAGAACAGATATTTACAAAAAGCTTACCAAGAGCTATTAAAGAAAAGTTATTTGACAGCATATTTGACATATGCTTTGTGAAACAAAGTAGCTTTAAGTATCAATAACCAGAAACATTCCTAAAACAGTTCATGTCACTACTGCTGCACTGTAATAATTCACACATTCATGTGCATCCTGATGGGAAGGATATTAGTATCCTAATTTTATCAGCATTTTCACTGCCTAAAGGGTTCAGAAATCATGGGAACTTTTCAGAAGGCAACACTCAAAGACTGCTCCTTCAGTTTAAAGTGTTCTCCTGGCATCA